TAGCCATAGCAGGCCTGGAACTCACTATGTACACCAGACTGGCCTTGAACTCACAGAGATCCGCCTGCCTCTGCCTCCTGAGTGCTAGGATCAAAGGTGTTCAGCCTTGCTGATGGATCTGTATACTTCATTTTATTTCAGCAGGTGTAAGTAATCCGTATCTTCAGCAGTCAGAATTTGTGTTGGAGGGTGATCGAGATTCCTGCCTATTAAGATGCATTAGAATTCTGGGTGTGGTGATGCATGGCTTTTAATCCCAGCACTCAGGAGGCAGAGACAGGCAGATCTCTGAGTTCAAAGCCAGTAAGAGCTGCAGAGTGAGAAGCTTGTCAAAAAAAAAAAAAAAAAAAAAAAAGATGTGCTGGGCTCAGAGCCACCCCTCACTGGACTAGTTATCAGTTCCCATTACTGTGTTGTCTGTTTCTCCTTCCCTTCTAGACTAATAGCATTAGGCCCATCACCAAAATATAGCACCCTCCCAACCCCTAACAAACCCAAATGAGGCTTACATTTAGAAGATACTAGATCACTTTACTGACAGATGCCAGAGAGCTTTCTTCCAGCCTTTATATGAAGGCTTTAGAAGGGGAAAAGCTTTGCTGTTTTCAGTGACTATTTGACTTCTTTGGAGGATTGGCTACTTACAGCTGAACTAACTTATTTCCTGGAATGGGGATAAAATATTTTTGTTATCACCGGGCGTGGTGGCGCATGGCTTTAATCCTAGCACTCAAAAAAGACCAACCCCCCCCAATAATGATGATAATAATAATAATATCAATATCTGTCTATATATATTTTTGAGGGGGGGTCTTTTTGAGACAGGGTCTCCCTGTAGCCCCAGCTGTCCTGGAACTCACTATGTAGACCAGGCTCTCCTTGAACTCACAGAGACCCGCCTGCCGGGTGCTGGGATTAAAGGCGTGAGCCACCATGCCCGGCTCAGTTTTTTTTTTTATATTTTATTTATCATTTTTATTTTATGTGTATGAGTGTATTACCTGCATGTATGTGAGTGCACCTGTGTTGTGCAATGCCATGGAGGTCAGAAGAGGGCTTCAGATTCCCCTGGAACTGGAGTTAAGGATGGTTCGTAGCCACCATGTAGGTGTTGGGAATCGAACCCAGGTCCTCTGCAAGAGCAGCCAATGCTCTTCACCACTGAGCCATCTCTCCAGCCCCTTACTCGGTTTTTAAAATTGAAACTCTCAGTGACCAGGCATTTTACTCAAGGCCTAAGAACAGAGTGGCAAGCAAAATAAATTTGGTCCCTGCTCTAATAGAGCTTTTAGATTATTTCAAGAAAACTGGGTTTGATTAAAAATATTCCTAGATCGCTGGGCATGGTGGCACATGCCTTTAATCCCAGCACTGGGGAGGCAGAGGCAGGCAGATCTCTGTGAGTTCGAGGCCAGCCTGGTCTCCATAGTGAATCCAGGACAGCTGGAGCTACAAATAGAC